AGTACCTTGTGAATGACGCGGATTCAAACGTTGACCTTTTGGTCTTTGTACCAGCTTTAATCCATCAGTTAAATATTGTACTTGGATTCATCAGAAAAAAGTACACTCCTCCATTTTGTTATACTCCAGTTAATATGAGGGTTTGCAAATTCAAGCCGAACTTTTCAATTTTAGTGCGAACTTTCTAACTTCTGTTGGAATTTTAACGGGACTTGTTGAAATTAAGGTCAATAAACAAGTATATGAAGTTTAGTGCTTTAGTTTTGTCGGAGCAAATACCATATACATATTATGCGAAGGTTTTGTGTGTCAAAATCGTATTTGTAATAGAAAGATGATCTGCTTGATAAAGTTTTGTTAATCCTTAAGTTAAATCGACCAACTTCGATCAAGAAAAGTATTTATTGTATGTGTATTCTCCGACAGTCTGAGAATGTTATATTGAAAACTACTAAACGTAACTCACTAAATAAATGTGTCGAAAAAATTAAGTTTTACCCCCAAGATGCTATAAAATTGCTTCATTGGAGCCAGTATTAAAATTGTATAATGGGCGTGGGACCGCCTATCTTTAACTGAAGTAGTGTCAGCCTTCGCTGGACCAATTTCAACAAAATTACTTAACATTATCCTCCCATACCTATGTTACGATGTGAAAATTAGCGAAATCGGACCACAACCACGCTTTATTCCTATATAACAGAATTTTATATTCCACATGATGCTTTCTCTTTACCATATAAAAAATAACTGCACCAAAAAATATATTGAGACAAATAGTGCTTTTATGATATGCTATGTCAAATCCAAAATTGGCTAATCATAACTGTTCAAGCCTCTAGATACCGAACTTGTGCACTTCAGCGCCTATGACTGACTTTTCACCTAAAATATCGCTCAATCTGTAAAATATATTATTGAAATTCGGAAAGAATCTTTTCCTGATAACAAAATACCCTTGGGTCAAAAATGGATAAAATCGGGTCAATATTTTCTTCAATCCCCAAATAGTATAATAATATGTCCTAATGATAAGAATAGACAAAATTGGGTCAATACTACACCTAGCACCCATGTGCCCAAAATAAGGATATCAAACTTCTGGTTGCCTTTATACTTTATAGAAATATCGGTCAATATGTAAGATAAGATGCCAAAATTAAGCGAACGGATATTATTGGATCTCTAATATGAATATTAACACTAGGTTTACGGGCGTTTCTTATATACCTATCTCTACGAGCCTCCGTCAAATTGACAGGTGGATGAAAACACGTATTTGTTTAAAACAAATCAATTTATTCAAACTAAATCTGAGTTTAACAATATAAGGCTTCACGTAAAAATAAAATATTAATAGGTTAAATTTTTTTTAAGTTATTGCGGAGATGATAATAATATAAAGGCTACATAATCATATAATATTTATCGAGGAAATTTTTTACATATGTACGTATTGAATTCCTTTTGTGCATTTTCCTCATACGATATTTTTACAATACATACAGCAATTACTGTTTCTATTTTTATTAAAATAGCCCACTTGGCCACTTTTTCACACTCCTGATGTTTAACGTGCCTGATCTGAAACGTCTGAACTGTGACGAAGGTTGTCCTTGTTTTCTCCAGCTAATTCATCGGCTGGAGAAAATATATACCCCCTTCTGGATGTACAGTCTTCTGAGTAACATAAATTTTATGAAAATAGCGGCATCTTGAACTTTCTTTCTTTCGCTGGTTTTGGTAGTTCTCTCTTGTTCAAGCGAATGGTCCCAATCAAGGTTGTCTTTAGTTCGAGCAAATTTGTTTGCCAGCGGGATGCTTGTAAAAAAATTATCGGTCGTGATTTCTTCCTCGATGTAAATACGGTTCGGATAATTTCAACAATACAAACTGGCCCAACGAATATGAGCATCGACTGTAATCTTTTCGCAAGTAAGGGAATCTATTCAAAATATATTTTGATTTAACGTCAACCATTAACCAAAACTTAATGCCAAATTTATTCGGCTACATGCCAAATAATGTATTATGCAAATCTGCAACGGGCTTTAGTTGGAAACAGTTGTTCATCCACTGTAATATTTTGATGTGGTTCATAACAAGCTTGGCTGTTACTTATAAATATTTTTTATAGTTCAGAAATGAGTGCAAATTTATCGGCTTGTAACTTTTCGGATCGTTCGGTTCGTTTATCAACGGCCCGGGAATTTAATATTGTTAGGAAACTACGTAATTCGGAAACTCTAATTTTCCAGTCGTTCTTCAAAACTCGACGTGTCTCGGTTTCGGAGCAATCTTTAATATGTTTCATAATATGAGCGTCAATTATCAATCTTAGATCTTTGCTATTGAAGATATACATAATTTTACAAGCGACGCTAATATATATCACATTTTTTACTCTAGCAATATGTGTGAGTCACAAGCGGGAAAATATTTTATGATGTTCTAAATATATATAATATATATATATATATATATTAAATTTTTAAACAAGTTATCGCTTGCATGGATGGACAGACAGTCACTCAGAATTCAACTCGTCTTGTCATGCTGATCATTTACCATATACATATGTATATATCTATCTCGATTAGTTTTGGATGATACAAAAACCCTATCTACTTAACTTCATTAAAATTTCAAATATTTTGACCAACATAAACAGATGGAAAGTTTAAATGTCATTACATCGGGTATTTTTGGGGTAGGATAAGGACTGGACTGAACGCATTATCTGTTGGCATTACTCAAATAGCAAACAATTTATGAAAATAACTCCTATACTGACTGACATATTGGACATCACTTCTGTTAGAATAATAAAAATCATTATATATACTAAATGGATTGTGGTGTAATTCGTGCAATAATTTCACACATTTTAAGACACCTACTATATGGAAATTCGGTGCAGATTACCAACAAGTTTGTAACTGGCAGCTACCAGACATTCCATGACATTTACATCGTAGCCCCATGTAGGTAGGTCAATTTGCAATTTCATTAAATCAAAGATAAGCAATGTTGCATATATGAAATAAATAAAATTATAAAGGAAGAGAGTTGTGTGAAACACAACATTTTTTGTTAAATTTTGCTGAATATGATTATATCGACTACATATGTATGCGTCCACCAATTGTGTCAAATTTTGTCAGTGCGTATGTACAGCATCTACTAATAAGGATGACTTGATTTTGACAGATCGTGGCGCCCATATTTGTTTACGAATTTGTGTCAAATTTTGTCAGTGTTTTCGGTAAGGTTTTAAATTTCAACATGTCACGTTTCATTTTGGTACAAAACTTGGAAATTGTTCAAGACCGTTACGCAAATTCACGTTATCCGGTGGTTACGGTAAGAGCTCTTCGCGCAAACAAAAATAGGCCCCTTTCAACAAACAAAATTTTCGCTATTTATGGGATATGGCTAGGATGATCCACTTTCGCGTGCAGTTGCTTCTCTAAAAATTTACCGTTTGGAGCGGATTGTGGTATGGAGGCACCATCCGGCCTTATTTCTTTCGAAATGAGGCAGGAATTGCCGTTACCATCAATAGCGAGCGTTATAATAAGATGTTGACCGACTTTTTTTCCCGGTATATAAGGTCCAACGAGATGCTGCGGCGTCACATTTTCCATGGAAACATTGCGTGCCACAGGGACACATTCCCTAAGTAGTTTGGCGACTCGTTAATTTCGAAAAATGGTCCTGTCAAATGGCTGCTAGATCATGGGATTTAAAGCCTCTAGAATATTTTCACCTGGGGGTATGTAAAATCAAAAATTTAAGCCAATCAACCAGCAACGCTTGAGAAGCTCAAACAATGACAACAATCAGGGCACTTTAGCCGAAATGTTGCACCGGGTCATCGAAAATTAGCGTAAACGGGTGGAGATACATATGTACGTAAAACGAATCAAAAATGGCATAAAATTATCAGCATAACAAAAAACAAACCCGAACCCATTTTGACGAAATTTTAGTGTTTTATTTTATTTAACCATCTCGTCGTTCCCGTTGATAGACCCTTTACGGTATATACAACAACTCTAATTTCAAAAATCATTATACTTGTATTAGATATATGGGGCTATAAGATGTTCTGATTTCATCAATTTCTAACTATGAACAGATTATTGTGAGGAAAAGATACCTTCTGAATTCCTTTATAAAAAAAATTAAAGCCTTAAGAAGTTAGGGTCCGATTTTGTTAATTTTTTGATGAGAGTTCCCACTTATTTTTTTACGAAAAATTTTATTCGAACAATTTCATTGATGATAACATAAAGATGTCACATGAATGATACAATATGATCCGTATTTGGTTGAAATGCCTTCGTCAATCGTATACTTACCATCTTTCGACGCTGTTTCATTGTAAAAAATTTCCAAGTCAAAGCAACATTAAAGAAATCGTGTTAAATTCGACGCAAGAGACTGTTGATATCTCACTTAAGTGCCATAACCAAATTTTGTTTTACATATTTTAGACCAGTTTCACAACTCTCAATTTTAAAATAAATAAAAATCACTCGAAATTAAAATAAAAATTATTATCTTATTGATTTTCAAAACTTAAGACTTAATTTCTGTTCCAAATTTCGTGAAGATATCTTGTCAAATCAAAAAGTTTTACATATGTTGATCAGGTAATTTGTACGACAGCTCTTTGCTATAGTGATCCGATCTGTAAAATCTGAATTGCGTTCTGTTTGTTTTCTACGTTAATTTGCGTTCTGCGTTAATATATAATATTTTATTTCAACCTTAAAGTATTTAAAATACCTATATAAATATGTAAAACAAAAATAACTTTTGAATGTAAATTTTTTAACAAAAGACCATTGCGCGAGGGTAGTGAGAAAAGAAATTTCAATTGCCAGTTATCTATTACAGTGCAAAAAAATCGAAAATGCAATTTACTTAACATAGCACCACATAAATGTACTCGTGCTTACATATTTGAAACCTTATTTCCACTTTTATTTTAGGAACATCAGGCCGCAGATGCAACCAGAATAGTACTGTTAGCGACAGTTGCACATCACTGTGTTGTGGCCGAGGCTATAATTTAGTCAAACAAAAGCGGGCTGAGCGTTGCAATTGCAAATTCCAATGGTGTTGCAACGTGGAATGTGATGAATGCCAAATCGAAGAGTGGATAAGCGTTTGTAATTAATTTTATTGACTTAACACTATTAGCACAATATGTATCAGGTATGGAGGAATTTGCTACAATTGTAAATATGTATAAATAAGAATATTCAATACATACATATTTTTTATCTAAAAATCATTGAATAAACATATTCTAAAAACAATATAGCTTGCACATTGTATAATAATGTATTTTGTAATGATCAAATAAAAGTGTACATATCACAAGACGGAGCAAGAGCATTCATATGACTTTATTTCATTACTCTAAACATGACCATAAGACCATGCATATGTATATAATAAAATTTTATGTTGACTTACACAGATGTTTTTAGTTTTCTTCTGCTTTCAAAATTTGTAATAGTTAGCGTCGATTTAAAGAAAGTATTATCTAATAAATTTTAACATGTATGTTTGTTGCTTACGTAAGTAAAAGGAGTAAACTCCTAAAGAGTTGATAAATTTATGTACATATGTACATATGTGCTCAAACGATGTGAGGTAAGATGACTGACTTTTAGTTTTAAACAATTATTCATTTCTTTCGTGCCCATTTTTGAGAAGAAACATAAATAAGCGATAATATTTGGTTTTGTATGATGTGATTAAGTATCAAATATCAGCAACTCCTTCGAACCGAAATTATTGAACACTTAGGAGAAAGCGTCCTTCCCAACTATATATAAAAATTAAACAAGTTGTCTAATCTGTTTTAGCTGCTTTATCTCGCATCTTGTTAGAATTAACCCGAAGAGCAGATGCAATCCTCGACGCATTAACTCTCAATCAAAACAACATGGAAGCTATCAAATCTGAAGGAGTTTTTGCGTCGACATAAAAGATGGATCCACTGGTACACACCAGAGACTAGAAAATAATGGACTTCATCGGCGAGCCTGCTTCGGACTTATTTTCCGAAATGTTTTCTGAGACTCACAAGATACTGCGCTCTACATCGACTATGTGAAATAGGACGCTCCCAAAAATCACATAGGGTTGATTATAATTTGGTGAAAAAAAGTGCTCTTCCACCTTGACGACGCACCGAATCATAACTCTGCTGTCGCCAGTGCCTATCCAACTTGAAAAATCCGGGTCGAAATTTTTGTTTGATTTTGGAGATTATAGCTAAAATAAAGGCCTACTTAACAGAAATCTAAAAAAGCTTTTTTTCTCGCTGGACAAATTTGGAGCATAGTTGGATGAAATGTATCGTGTTCAAAGAAGAGTATGTCGAGAAATAAATTACTATTTTTCCAATATTTTAATTTTAAGGCATTTGTAGACTAAGTCCTTATTGGGCCACCTATAGACTTGCAAAAAGTATCATCAGGTTCAGTATATTACCTATGATAATATTGTACAGTACCTATGATAATGTTGTAATTGAACACGAAACAAATATTTGAAGGATGGGCTGTTAAGTTTTATTGAAAAACAATTTTTATTGCTCTTATTAATTTTTTGACATTATTATAAATAAACACTCAATGCATTTTAAACTGAAAATCATAAACTTATTTATTTGCTTTAAAAAGAGACAGCAGCCTGTTTGGAAATGAATCAACCAGCTTTCATATTATTTCAAGTGTGATTTTTTGCCAATCTTCCAGGACTGCCTCGATGGAAACGAAACCGCTCAAAATCTATCGAAACCCCTACGCGCTTTGAAGCAAACTTTTTCCAGTATGTTGAGATATATATTCTTATCTAAAACTTTTAATAAACTCAATATTTCTCATTACGACTGGGGACGAACAAGCACAAAACAAAACACTGCCACCAGCATATATAGCATACATAGACGATATGTGCTTTGCGTTATTATAAGGATTTAATGATCGAGATTTAAAGACTACGAGAATATTTTAGGCATAATCATAAAAAATATTAATTTGGTAAGAGCAAACTACATTTTCACGGATATTACGACAATTCTGACAGAATTAAACATATTGTGCACAAAATCGCAGCTATCAAAAAGCATCGAAGGCATTGTAATTAAAAAAAATCGACTCTATGATCTAATTTCATAAAAAAAGTTCTTGCCATAGTAACTTCTTTCCAACAGCCGCTTAATGTATCCATAAACTAAAATAAAATAAAACCATAAACCATTAACGTGGGCAAGAGAAGCAAAATATGCCTTCCAGAGATGCAAAAATGAATTAGTCAAAGCAATACACCGACTCAGAAACTGGGGTAGATGACCTTACAGCAAGTCTTGGGACTACGATTACGAACCAGCAGCCACTTTTTTTTATCATTATTAGCTTAAAATAACGTTGTATTGAAGAATAGTCGATACACCACAAATATTACGTGCTCCGAAGAGAAAGGCCATCCTCCTGAAGCAGTTACAAGCACTTCCATTAATCTCAATTCCTTCGAAGTATATACGACACAACAGCATCAATTATAAGGTACAATCAAAGTCGGTGACTCAACCAGCGATGCAATGATTCAAATGCCACTGATCTGGCAACACAAATGTCGCGCGCTCACATTTTTCTCCTAACGTACGGGCGTCAGGGGACACTCTAAATAGTAGGAGTAAATGGAAAATGAAGAAGAACTAGTACGGAACATTGTATAAAATAAAATTTTCAATAATTGTTTAGTTAATTTTTGACAGCTGTTTTGCTTGGACACGTTTCTGTTCGTCTTCGATTTTTGCTTATTCTAAAATATGGATCAAAGAATCAAAGTTTGTGTGAACAAAAATTAAGTGAGGAAAATAGTATTAGCCAGTCGTCAAATCACAATTAGGGAAATTGCTGGGGAGCTAAACATATCGAATGGCTCGTGCCATTTCGACCAAAAACAGCGTAGCGTTAACATTCCTCAGGAGATCTTGGACTCAGTCCGCGACGACCGAGATCTGCATCATGGGTTTATGGTTATAACAATATCACACACAATTTAAGACATATTCTTCGATCCATGTTTTGGTATAAGCAAAAATCGACGACGAACCAAAACGTTCCATCAAAGCAACTGTAAAAAATTACCTAAACGTTCAAAATATAAAATCATAACTAAAATCATTATACAAGGTGCGTTCCAACGTAAGCAGTAAAAAAGTAACAAAGTAAACTCTAGTGGCGCCATCTATATGTGCGTTAGAATCTGCTATGCTTTATCGACTTTCAGTAAAAATTTCATGACATGTCATCTATTGGTATGTACAGTATGTTTTTGTCATCGGTGCGAAACTGAGCTTCGAACAAAGAGCCAACATTAAATTTTGTTTTAAAATTGGTTAAACTTTTACCGAAACGTTTCTATTGATGAAACAAGCTTATGGCGATGATTGCCTATCCCGTTGCAAAGTGTACGAATGGTTTCAACGTTTTCAAAGTGGTCGTGAGGACATAAATGAGAAATTAGCCGAAACCCATAATATCGCGCCTGGAAAAGTCAAAAGTGAAGACAATGCTGATTTCTTTTTATGATTCCAAGGGTATTGTCCACAAAAAATTTGTTCCACCCGGCCAAAATGTTAATGCGGTATTCTACCTTGTAGTTTTGAAGCATTTGGTGCGCCGTATTCGACGTGTTCGGCCCGAATATCGCGAAGATGGAAGTTGGCGTTTGTAATAATGCAATCTCATCGATCGACGCTTGTGGCCGATTATTTGACCAAAATTACATTTAGCAATCAACCACTTCCCGTATTCACCTGATATGGCACCGTGCGACTTCTACCTTTTCCGAAAAATGCATTTGGCGATGAAATGAAAGCGTTATGCAGACGTGGAGGCCATTCAAAAGGCTTGCACCGGCATACTGGCGGCCATACCGGACAACGAGCTAAAACACTCGTTCGACATGCTTTTGGACCGTGCAAAAAGCTGTATTAAAGCAGAAGGAGACCATTTTGAATAAAATTTATTGATTTTGCCGATAAAACCATTACTTCTGTCTTTTTTTTAAAAGTCCTGTTTACTTTGGAACGCACCTTGTATGTAGTATATGGGGATAGGGTAGCACAGCAACCGATTTTACCCATTTTCGATACCTAGCGATAGTATATCTATTGTCATACATTCATTTATTATTGCTTTAGGAGATATCAAATATATGGGAAGGGCCGCATTACAACCTCCTCAGAATGAGAAGGAACGAGATATTTAAACTCTTCTCAAGTTAACGCTCGCACGAACAAACGGATGGACAGATCCGTGTCAATTCGTCTCGTTATCCATGTAAATACAATACAATACAACTCTATATCTATCACCTTTAAATTAGGTTAAAACAACCATTAGGTGAACAAAACTACAATACTCTGTTGAACATGTTGTGAGAGTTAAAAAATTTTAATATTTCGTGGCAAAGAGACTAAAAACAATTTTTAGTGGGAAGATACCAGTCCTAATGTTTACGTAGTTGAGCATTACGTATTAACTACTTACGAGCACAATCTATTCATATAAATAAGTTCATCCTATTAAACAATTTTAGAACACGCATTCGCGAAAAGAACTTACAAGGTTTCCCCCTTTCTGAGCGAATTTTTCTTCATAAGCATATTCAGTACATATTGCGCAGCCTATCGTGCTGCAAGCTAAGACTATAAAATAATTGTTTTTAACTAAATTGAGAAACTATTCAAAAAATATATACATTGTTAATATATTCCTACAATTGGTATGTATACGTGAGTTTATTAAAAAATTTAAATTTGTAGAAATGTGGCAACACAAAGTTTCACTTATGGATAAACTAATTAAACACTACATTACTAATTAAATTATATAACATTATGTGTTCATAAATGATTAAAAGGTAGAATATTAGAATATTTGTATGCACATCAAGAGTTCTTAAAAAATTCCTATTTAAATGAACAATGCCTTCTAATATTTACCGTAATTAAACTTAACCATCTTTTGAACGTCTAACAATGGTTATTAGAGCAGTTACGGTATAGTTTTCTTAAAACATTTACAGGAATACCTGTTAAAACTAACAAAAAAATGTAATCCACTTAAGGCAAGATAAAATAAATAATTTTTCAGTTTCTAAGCAGTTCTTAAGTGGTGTATAGTTGATAAATATCTGCTTAAAAGAAGGCACTAAATTGTGGTTTAACGGTCCGCACTAAAACTTAAATATTTACGATTCGTTAACCTTTAGGGTGCCTGCAGAGTGGACGCTGGATCCTGAGCCAAGCTTTTCGCAATTATTCTTCTGAAATTTAGGCCATGCACGCAAACGATTTTCTCATAACATATCCCATCATCAGACTAAACAACTGTTTTTTGGTACCGCTTTCTAATAATAGTTATGCATGAGAACAAGGCGAACACATTGCTGTAAAAGCCATAAGTTTACATTTGTAGAAAGTATCGTTCGAAGTATAGCCGAGTGTCCAGCTCTGGAGGTATTTAGCGAAGCGCCAAAAGAAGAGCTAAAGATTGTTCGTTTGGTGGTTTCTCTTAATTGACCTTGAAATGAAGAAATGTTGTTGTTTTAGCAAGTTGGTTAGGTTTGCGCAAGCAAGTTACTATAATTAATTTTTTTGAAAGTCCGCTGTATCAATTAAGTCAAGTGAGCTTTAGTATAACAAGAAGCTTATTAAAAAACATTTGGTTTAACTAATTCTTGATATAGTGGATGACAGTGGATAAATGGATGAAATCATATAAAAACTCCAACGACACCCTATATAAGGGATATGTTAAGAACTATTAAAAAAGCGATAACTGCCTCACCGAAACAAATAGTAGTAGTAGTAGTACGAATTCGTTGCATAAAAAATATTAAAATCATTGTCATACTTTTAAAACTCCCACATCATATCACAGAATATACAACGTTTTGCCTTAAAATATTTCAATGTTTGAAGTTCTCTCGAATTGCGAGAGAATAAAATCAATCAGCAAGAACTTAGGTCTTCCTTACCTTCATTATTATAAAGCTTTGAAAATACCCGATAATATTACCATGTCTTTGATTCTGGCAAATTGCGTATGCTCATGCACTCCATAAGAACATAGCTTATTTTTATTTGTTTTAACTATATACATATATAATAATATAATATTTAATTTTGCCTTTTTTTGCTTCTTACAATTCACTTCGAATTTTTATAGTTTAAGGGTTTGAAATATGTATTTACCATACACACAACTGCCCGATCCAACGGACAAATTCGAAATCTATGAAGAAATTGCTCAGGGCGTCAACGCAAAAGTATTTCGGGCAAAAGAGTTAGATAATGATCGATTAGTTGCCTTGAAAATTCAGCACTATGATGAGGAACACCAAATATCGATTGAAGAAGAGTATCGTACTTTACGTGATCACTGCAATCATCCAAATCTTCCCGAGTTTTATGGAGTCTACAAGCTTGAAAAGTCTAATGCCCCTGATGAAATTTGGTTCGTCATAGAGGTGAGAAGTATTTGGTACTTTCTAACATAATTTGCAAAGAAATAACTTTCATAAAAACATTACTCGTATTATATCTCTGCAGGGAAATAAATTACTACTTTGCTACCAATACACTCACTCATATAACTCGACAACAGACAACAAAATTTTATGATTCAATTGATTCAGCATTTAAATTGTGTTCAAAAAGAAAAATTTAGTTGTAAAGGAAAATTAATCAAAAAATGCAGCATCAGATAGAATATTAATAATTTCCGATTAAAATTTGACAGCTTCAGATTTTATACTCTTGCAACATGTTGCTGTTATACAATAGTTTTGTTCACCTAACGGTTGTTTGTATCACCTAAAATTATCGAGTTAGATATGGAGTAATATATTATATATATGTAAATTATCAGGATGGTGAGAGGAGTTGAAATCCGAGTGACTGTCTGTCTGTCCGTCCGTGCAAGCGATAAGTTGAGTAAAAATTGACATGTCTTACTGCAACTTGACACACGAGTTCCCTGGCAAGAAAGTGAGAACGAGTTCGTAGATGGGCGTAATCCGATGGGCTATATCACAGAAATTCGCACAGGACATATCATTTCGATACCTCTTGCGACAGTATGAAAAAATGTGAAACGCTCAAATAAACGATTTTTTAGGTTTTTTATTTTTATCTTGTACAAATTTTTTTTCACGAAATTTGTGGTAAGCTTACCTTCTTATACTCCCAAATACAAAATATTTTTTTTTAATTTAATGTTTTTTCTCCTCTATTTTAACTTAATATCGACCAAATATCTTTATTTTCAATCAAAAATTCTCAAGTCAAAATATACGATTATTTTAAGGAGTCAGTCGACTTTATATATTTATGTTTTAGTTTCTACTTTTTTGTGTAATAAAAATGATATACATTTCTTTCAAAAAAAAAAGACAACCCTAAATAGCTCAAAAACGATTTGAAACTGCTTTTTCTATTTCATTCACCCATTACGTCTTAGCAGCTGTAAAAAATCTGTTTTGAATAGTTTTCTTGGTTTTTTGGTTGTATTTTTTGAGATAGTAGTAATGTATATAATGTTTATACCGTCACAAATTTATATTAAGTCAAAATAGAGGAAAAGAAATTAATTTCTTAAGTAAAAAAAAATGCAATGTACTTGGGGCATAAGAAGATAAATTTACACGAAATTTCGTGAAAGAAAACATTTTTTGGATAAGATAAAACCACAAAATCCAAAAATTTGGTTATTTGAACTTTTCACATACATTTTGATGTTAAGAATATAAAAATATATAAAAAAAGTTTCGTTCGGTTTTTTATTGATTTTTCAAAAGATTATAACTTTGTGTACATTTTTCCGATTTAAGTCAAATATGCGCCGTTCTGTTCGTAAACTTGTTGCCAACGAGATGCCAACTTCATTATACCCCTCTCGTAGAAGACTGCAAAAAAGCTCGGAGAGCCAATTTTCACAGGCCTCTCTTGAGGCCAACTTCTCACCATTAAGCACGTTCGCCATGGACAGGAAAAGATGGTAATCACTTGGTGCCAGGTCCGGACTACAAGGTGGGTGCATTAGAACCTCCCATCCGAGCTCCAGGAGCTTCTGGCGAGTCACCAAAGACGTGTGTGGCCTGGCGTTGTCCTGATGGAACACAATTCGGCCTCTGTTGATCAAAGATGGCCTCTTCTGGATGAGTGCTGCCTTCAAGCGGTCCAGTTGTTGGCAGTAGAGGGCCGAATTGAGCGTTTGGCCATAGGGGAGCAGCTCGCAATAGTTGATTCCTTGCCCATCCCACCAAACATACAGCAAAACCTTCCTGGCCGTTAATCAGGTCTTGACCACCATCTGGGCCGCTTCCGCGAGCTTTGACCACGACCGTTTGCGCTCGATGTTGTCATAAGTGACCCATTTTTCATCGCCAGTCGCAATCCACTTCAGAAACGGGTCGGTTTTCTTGCGATTCTGCAGCGATTTGCAGATGGAAATTCGATCCATCATGTTTTTTGCGTGAGTTCGTGTGGCACCCAAACATCGAGCTCCTTTTTGAATCCAAGGTTATGCAAATGGTTCCAAACGAATTTCTGGCTTATCTTTAGTTCCTCAGCAATTAAATAAGTGCTCACGTGACGGTCTGTTTCCACTATTTCCATGATTTTATCGCAATTTTCAACGACAGGCCTCCCGACGCGTGGTGCATCTTTGACATCGAAATTACCGGAACGGAACCTAGCAAACCACTTTTGTGCTACATGTTCGTTTACAGTATCGGGCCCATAAACTAAATTAATTTTTTTAGCCGCTTTGGCTGCTTTTTCGCTTTGATCGAAGAAAAATTGTAAAATATAGCGAATTTTCTCTTTGTTGGTGTCCATCTTTGACGAGCGCTCACAACGAACTGAGTAAATCAATCGAAAAACTAACAAAAAGACAAACTTTTAGCGCGAAAAAACACGTTTTCAGCGCCGTATAGTATGACATGATGCGACACGTAACACTAGTACTATGGACAATAACCTCATCTCTTAGATAATAACCGAACGAACTTTTTACTTGACCTAATATAATAAAAGTTATCTATTTACCAATCTACTGCGGCGTATGTAAACGGACGGCACTTCTATAGGTTCAATATTCCATTTGCAGCGATGAATATTTTATTACCATATCTGTTCTACACTCGTGCTGTTACCTATGACGACGATCTCGGAACAGAGCGAAAATGACAAATGCCAGTCCAGTACCAGACGTACCACGCATTTATCAGGGAGAGTTATGTTTAGAACGTCTGTTGTTCTACTTAGAATCTGGCTGGCTAGATAAATATACATATTTATTTTTAGAATTTCGTAAGCATCGATCAAATAGTTTTGAGTTATCTCACAGCACTATAAGTGCTTCTGAACCAAATAAGGTTAATAAGCGACCTGAGTGCTTTTTTTTTAAAGTGAGCTATGTTAATTCTGAAAGCAGAACTATCCAAGAACGCTGACAGACATGCTACTTTCGCGGCTAAAGTTTTTTTCCTTTACTGATGTTAACAAAAGGCGATTGTTGTAACTTCTTTTTGGTAAATAAACTGCATATCCGTGTTATATTGCCTAAGTTCAATGTCTCTTAAAGGACATTGTTCACTCGAGAAGCATATGTGCAATATGTTGTAAAATTGTAATATATTTGTAAACGCCTTTATAGTATTGCAGTGGGGGTACAGCCGTGGATATGGTTAACAAATTGGTAAAACTAGAACGGCGCATGCGTGAGGAGCATATTGCCTACATTATACGCGAGATATGTAGAGGCGCTATCGAGCTAAATAGAAACCACGTGATACATAGGGATATCAGAGGTGATAATATACTTCTTACTAAAGATGCACGAGTCAAGCTATGTGATTTCGGTTTGTCACGTGAAGTTGACTCGACATTTGGAAAACGTGGAACATGTATAGGATCACCTTGTTGGATGGCTCCGGAAGTTGTGACTGCAATGAGTGCAAGTAAGATTTAACTACATTTCTAAAATACTATTGTATATTAATTTTCTATATATACATAAACATAATGTAGTATGAATGGAATTTTTTAAATCAAGATTTCTTTCCCCATTTATAATTTATTAATGCTTATGTCATGTACAGTTATGCAAACTTGTTCATAACTTTAGATAGCATGGATTGATCTGGTTTTTGATATTCATCAATGTAGATTAATATGTATCTAACTCAAAATATTCAATAGAAAAGTAAAGCAGAACAACTGTAATTTAAAGTACTTGAGAATTATGGAACAATTAGTTCGCGGACTCTGACGCAAATCACTCATATCTTTTGATGACAAATATATGAAAGTTATGTGTAAATATGTCTCTTATCAGGGAAATGGTATCGAAAAATTGGAACTTAAATCTATACGAACCTTGCAGTTTATATGTTACGTATATCAATTCAAATTCTTACATATGGGTTGAACCAATGATTTTCGGTATTAATACATAGTATAAAACAAAGTAGCTTTCTCTGTCCCTATATCCCTATGTATGCTTAAATCTTTAAAACTGCGCTACGGATTTGATGCGGTTTTTTTTAATAGTGGAAGGTTTATATAATATGTATAGTAACATCCATTAAATAGTCGAGAAATACTGTTATTTTTGAGGTTTCTAATGTGATGTCGTAAATAATTAAATTTTTTCCGCTTACATTGCAAACGCATGCTGAACCCTACGATATTTATCAAAATAATGTACTAAGTATTGTACACATTGAAAAGGTTTACAGAAAACTCCGCGATGGTATATGTTTATCTCTTATGGATATCCCACAATAACATTTTTTTATAATTTACTTTTTACGACCAATAATGGCTAATTTTGGAAGCGATTTTAACAAATACAGCATTAATCCCTATCCAATTAAATACCTTAAATGCATTGTTGATTTAAAATAGATCTATATGGCCCTTTACAGCATAAGATTTGAATGAATATAATCCTTCGATTTCTTACAAGGACGATGGTATAATATCAATAGGTACTGAATAATGTACTCGATTGCACTCACCGTTTATATGCGTTTATTGAAAGCACAAAAAATAAAAATAGATTTATGAGTTTGTTGTGCGATTAAATCATTTACGTTGCGGATATTAATCGGCGGATTGTTCGTTATTTGCGGTTTTGTCATTAGGCGCGGTTGTCAGAAAACATAATTTCACGAGCGGTCTTGTTAGCGTTCTGCTTTGAGTGCGTAATGTAGTTTTTTTATGCGGCCAAGCCGCCATTCTGTAGGGGGTAGACAATCACCGTGTATGATGACATAGTCTCCAAGCTTTGGCGCCTTTTCTGGAGTTTTCCATCGGTACCTTTTATGAAGGTCCTTGATATACTTTTCCTTCCATCGGTGGCTGAAGTCGTGATGAAGAATTTTGATTCTTTCCCATCGATTTAATAAGAATAGCGACTCCACGCCTGACTCAGGTATGCCAGAATGGATGCTACTTTGAGAAAATGCCCTAGAGTTTGGGCTGTGAAGTCAGAGGGATCGTCCGAGATTGTTGTAAGTGGACGTGAATTGAGAACGGCTTCAGTGAATTCTTCATAATTTGTAATTTCCAGCTACTTTTTTGAAGTGGGATTTGAAGCTTTTTACAGCTGATTTCCATAAACCACCCATATGAGGAGCGCTTGGGGGGATAAACTGCCAATTAATGCCTTGGGGAGCATACTTCTGAACAATTTCAGGTGATACTTGTTTATTAAAATCCACAAACTATTTTTCATTGGCTCTTTGGGCTCCAATGAAGGCTTTTCCGTTATCGCTCATTAGTTTTGAGGGGAAGCCGCGTCGTCCGACGAAGCGAGGAAATGCCGCGAGAAAAGCCCCCTTAGTCAGATTTTTACATAGCTCGAGGTGCACTGCTTTTGTCGTAAAACAGACAAAGACAGCCACATAGCCTTTCAGTATGGTGGGCGACCTTAGAATGGACGCCTTTATTTGAAAAGGCCCAGCAAAATCGACACCTGTGATTGTGAAAGGCAGAGCGAAGTTGCAGCGTTCCGGTGGAAGTGCTGCCATAATCTGCGTTCGCAACTTCTTCTTACGCAGCGTGCAGATCTTGCACATCAAAATGCATTTTATTTATTTGTGGCTTAAGTCGCGGAATATAGAACTCTTGGCAGACTATATGTTGCATTAGGCGCTGTTCTGCGTAGAGCATAAGTAAGTGGATATAACTGAGGAGTAAAGTGGCAGGTTGAAACTTCTTCGGTGTGTTTAGAGGGTGGCGTTCATTATACGTGAGGCTTAAATTGGCAATCCAACCATTCGCACGAAGCAGACCTTTCGTGTCTAGGAATGGGTTAAGAACAAAGAGTGAACTCTTTTTGTCAATGGGTTTTAATTCTCTTAATAGTGTTATATCGCGGCTGAAGTAGCCCATTTGAGTTGTTGCGATTAGAGCGACCTTTGCCTTTCGCAATTCTGGGTGCGTCAATGTATCACATTGGGGGTACTCTGAGGGAACTCCCTTAATTTTTATTTTAAACCGCTTTATGAACTTTAACATATAGGCGATTTTTCTGAGGGCTCGGGAGAACGATGAAAATCGCTCAAGGATGCCAGTATCCTACACTGCTGTGTGAAAGGAGTCGAATTTTCGACTTTCTGGGGCTTTTATATTGCGCATGGGCGATTGGGGCCAAGAATCGGGAGATTCTGTTAAGCATCGGGGACCATTCCACCAGAGCGTGGTGGTGGTAGGGTGCAGCGGTTTGCACCCTATTATACCTAGATCAGCTGGATTGTCAGCCCCAGGTGGCTGATCCTACTAGGTCAAGTATTTGAGAAGTTCGATTAGAAATGTACGTCTTCCATGCTTGTGGTGGTTTTTCCAGCCAGGCAAGAAAAATTTCAGAATCGGACCAGAGATACAATCTATGTTTCTTCATGTTTAAATGGGTCTGCACCATGGAAGCTAATTTTGCGAGTAGTAGCGCGCCACAGAGCTCAAGTCGAGGTAGACTTTTTAAAAGGAGCCACCTTTGCTTTTGCTACTAATAAGTGGCTTGTGGTCGCGGTATCGCTTTGTGTGCGCACATAGATAGTGGCACAGTATGCCTTCGCAGAGTCATCACAGAAGCCGTTTAATTCAACTTTGTGTTCGGGGAAATAGTCGTGGGACTTGTATCTGGGAAATATCTTCCAGAATGTTTGCGAACTGGGACCATTTTTCTAAGCGAAGCCATAATTCTTGTATCAAGATTTTCGCTTGTATCATAATGGGCGAAAGCCATCCTGCGGATCGAAAAGTTTTGCCACAGAGGATGAAATTTGGCGTTTTGTTCTGGCGGATAATGCAGATATTGACTCTGTAGTGTATGAAAACTGGTCAGATATCGCATGCCATTGATTCCCCAGAGTCTCTGTTGTAATTTCCTTTTCGAATTTGAGGAAATTAGTGTCCGATTTTCTAGATTTTCTTAAGGTATGTCCTTTAAGATATTAGGGTGGTTCGCCGTTATCTTTTTTAACTTAAACCCTGCGGTTATGAAGGCGTGTGTCACTTGTGCTAGTGGCTCGTATACTTGTGAAATGCTGTGGGTTCCAGACAGGATATCGTCTACATACGTTTGAGTTTTTAATACTTCGGTTGCCAGAGGAAATACTGACTTTGTGTTTTCAGCCAATTCGTGGAGTGTTCGAATAGTTAAATATGGAGCTCAGTTGACGCTAAAGGTAACTGTTTTTAGTTTATAGTCGCGTAGTGGACTATTGGGAGATTTTCGGGAAACATTTCGCTGAAAATCTTGGTCGTCTTTATGTACGACTATTTTTCGATACATTTTCTCAACATCCCCATTGAATACGTATTTGAATATACGCCAATTTAATATGAGGAGCAGGAGCGGCTTTACTACCGCGTAATAAGGCAGGTAGAATGAGTAGTATTTGCCATTTATGATTTTTTCGCCTGCGCTTACTTCCTCCATGTGGTCTAAATGGAGGTAGTCTTCTAAAAATCCATCGTATTCTGGCTTAAGCTCACATCCTAAGTAAGTTGTTTTCCATACTTATAAATAGCTGTATTGCAGAGGCGCGAAAGTGACCTAAGGCGAGTGTGTTAGGAAATTGTTGTTTTAGTGGTAGTCGTAAGACGTACTGACCATTATCTGATCTAGTAGTTGTGGCTTCGTAAAAGTCTTCACAATACTGATCTTCTGAGGTTGTAATTGATATAGGGGGAGCTCTTTTAACTCCCAAAATTTCTTTTATTGTGAATTTAGGTATTCGTTTGAGATTTCCTCAACTTGAGTGGTCATGGTGACAGCTGGTTCGGAAACTAGTAAACTTAGGGTCCAACCAAAAATAGTTTATGCCAGAAGTGTATTTGAAATTTTCTCAATACCTTCGAGTATTATCTGTGGTTTGAGATCGCTGCCTAATAGAAGATCTATTTGAGCAAGAGTGTTGCAATTGGGATCTGCTAGCTTTAAGTAAGAAACCTTTTGCCAATGCTTGCTATTTATGTGCTAGCTTGGAAGCATGTTTGTTAGTTGCGGTAACACAGTAGCTTCTGCTTTAATGCGCTTTGGAGGAAATTAGGGTAATGGGACAGTTTTTGTTTGAGTTTTGGACTACTTTTCCACCCATTTCCGTGATTTCAAAATTGGCTAGTTTTGTTGACAGTTGTAGCCTGTTTTGTGCCCCAGGCGCTATAAAAGATCGTTGTGATCCTTGAGATCTATTGAAGCTTCTATTTAGGTTGTGTTGAACTATTGTTCTAACTATTTTTTTTGTCTATCCTTTCTGCGATTTCGTATTGGGTAGTTAAGAAATGTTTCATATGTTGCCACCTGGGGCATACTTTTGGGTGGTTTATGTAAACGGCTGTAAACATGTCCCGGAAGGACGGCCATTGTTCATAACCACAATGAAAAATTTCTGTGTCACATGCGGGCACCTTGAGATGGATGCCTGAACTTACCTCTTGACTTTGTATT